CATGCTGAAATGTTGTGTGCTCTGAAGCAGTGCAACTCTGATATCCCCTCCAAGGTGCATGGTGCCCAGAACTGTTATTTGCCTGATGTGACTTTCTGTGGAGGAAGTCAGAGCATCAGCTAGATGCTGGGTGAGAAATGTATTTCCTCTTCTATGGAAAAGCATTTCTTTTTCTAACACTGCTTAATTTCATTAACTGTTCCTAAGACAGCTGCAACTGTATAGCTCTGTAAAATATTTTTTTTCCATAAAAATACAACCTGGAAGCTTTATAAAACAGGAAAAAAATTATACCCATTTAGGTGTGATTAAAAAGAATCTTATTTAAGAAAAAATTAGGATTTGTCACAGTGAAGCGCAGTGTTAGGACCACAACAGTTACTGCAAGATTAGGAGAGGAGAGGGAACTTAACTACTGGGAAGGGATTACCTTTTAGCTGTAAACACAGAGAACCTAACTACATTGAGTCTTTGCTTGCTTGTGCATTCAGAATCACCGCTAAGCTGGTGATGCATTGAAATCGGTGTCCCCCATCGCTTCAATTAACCTGTAATCCCAGTGTACAGTTACACAGGTGCCTTTTAAGCCTTACAGGAAAATCGCCTGAGCTGTTGGGGTATCCCCTTACTGACTGCCACCTCCCATTTGCACCCTTTGAGATCCAGCTGGTCTGTTAGCTGGGTGGAAGTTCTTGTCATGGGCCTTGCCAAGCAGAGAGGGACAAAGGCTGTCTCTCAGAAGTTATTGAAGAAAGGTGCTTGCTCCTAAGTGTTCTAGGGAAGCCAGTTAACAGAAACTGCGTTAGATTGGTCAAGAAATTATGTGATTCTAGTATTTTTATGTACTTGGTGCTACATAAAATGAACCAAAGGTCTTTAGCCAGGTGTGATGTGTCTTCCAAAGTAACACCAAGAATGTGACGGGTCTCCATCATGGCTGGTGTTACAGGACTGCCTGGGCCATGCTGCAGGGAGCTTTGTAGCAGATTTTGCAGAAGGAAAATGATTTTGCTTTGACAAGCAGACAAGACGCAGGCGAATGGTGGGAAAGAACCAGATGCATCCTCATTTCTAAATGGGAGGTATATCCAAGTGACTGATGTTCCCTGTGCAATGCAAGACATCTGCCCAAGCGAGCAAGTGAACAGACAGGCCCATAAGCTGGACAAACCCATATCACTACTTGGAGAAACATACTCAAAAGAGAACACATCAGCCTGCTTAGCCTTTATGAAGCTAGTGCTTTTAAAACATTGGGGTTTATACAGCCCCTGTGTGCTAGTCAGGTCCAACTCAAACAGGTGCAAGCATTTTAACAGTCTGCTAAGTGATATTTGTTGTTCCTCGGCTGTAAATTAAGTTCTTGCCCTGAAGAGCCTGCTGCCTTGATATTTTCCTTGAGGGTGATGACTGCCTGGCAGAAGCTATTAAAATCAAACTACAGAGTAAGAAACAAACATGCAATCCAGCAAAGGTCATGAAGATGGTGGTTGTTTAACCACACCGACATCTGGAAAAGGAACTATGCAAATTTTCAAGCCAATTAAAAATAAATTATCTAACATACTGAAAATGATTAAGACAATTAAAGGATTGCAGCACCTATTAACGAGGCTGAGAGACCTGGGATGGTCAGCCTGGAGAAGAGAAGGCTTGGGGAGGGGTCTTACCAGTGAGTATACATACCCAGGGGGAAGAGCAAAGAGGATGGAGCTGGGTTCTTCTCAGTGGTGCCCAGTGGCCGGACAAGAGGCAATGGGCACACACTGAAACACAGGAAATTCTGTTTAGACATAAGAAAAAGCTTTTTCTACTGTGAGAATGGTTGAACACTGGTACAGCTTGTCCAGAGGTTGTGGAGTCTCCATCCTTGGTGATCTTCAAAACCTGACTGGATGCAGTCCCAGGCTCTCTGCTCTAGTTGACCCTGCTGCGAGTGAGGCAGCTGGACTATGCAATCTCCACAGGTTCCTCCTGAACTTAACTGTTCTGTGATTAGAAAAGAATGGCTTTCTAAAGGAATTTAACTGTGGGGTTTAGGGTCTTCTATCAAAAGATGAAAATTTTCTCAAGAAAAATTAAATGATTGTCCAGATTGGTGTTGAATGACATGCAACACTATGATTATAATGAATTAGTGCTTCAATGACCTAAAGAAGTTCAATACAACCTAATCTGCTCCAGTGTTCCTTAGAAGAAAAGACTGCAAGGGGAAGAGGGGTGCCCAGGTGCCCTCTTGAAGGTATTTGGGCTTTCAGCAGCTGCTGGTGGTTCTGAGACCTTTGCTCTCCCTGTTTTCCGGGCATGCTCCAGCTCTCTTGGCTGCTCCTGCTGCACCTGTGTCCTTTCTGAAAGCAGCTGCCGTGGGCTATGGTGTATTTAATGGGTGCCACATGGCCAAAGCAGCTTGGAACTGTACATACCAGCTTGCTGCTTTTTTTCTCCTTTTGCATATGTGCATCTTAAAAGAACTGACACACGGAGAGGAAGTGGCTTCTGAGGCTCTTCAAGGTCAAGAGGTAAGAAATTCTGTGTTTGCTGTCTACATGGTAGTAAAACAAAAGCAGGGATTTGAATGGGATTTTGCTCTTGTCCTACTCCACTGATCTGCTGGCTTCTAGCTCCACCCATTGCTTGCTTCAGTCTCCAGATTTAAAGATTTGATTTAGAGAAACTTTGGTATGACAGGACGATACTGCCCGTTCTCGCAGCTTTGATAACGCTGTGGGTTGGTTAGGATGACTGGGAGTGCTCGAAGTTAAAGGGGTGCTCTGCTAGTCTTTAGGGGGAAAGTGAGAGATAGAACACCTTGCAAGCTCTGCTTCCCCCAAGCGAGGTAACAAAACCTCTAGCATTACTGGTAAGGTTTGTGGGGGGTGGGTATCTCTCTCAGGCCTGGGATAACCAGGGTTGGAGTTAGGCCAGGTGGTGGTATCATGGTGCAGAAATTTGTGCAGCCAGGCCAGTGCATGGCAGTTCAAGAGACAGGGAAGTGGTAAGCAAGTGGTGTGTTGCCAGCTGGAGTGGTCATGGGAAGGTTTCCCGGACGCTTGTACACCTTGCAGCCACAGTAGGTCCCAGGCTTACCGAGTGCACACTGGTGACAACAGGCAGGAGAATGGCAGCATGTGCCAGATGCTTCTAGCGCGGGCACAGGGAGGGACTGAATAGGCTGGGGTTGCTCTCCACAGCCACAGTTTCCTTGCAGCTTAGTAACAAGTGAAAGCTGCAGCCAGGGAAGTGATAACTGATGGATGTGAAGTGGTTGATTTGGCTTTTCCTTGTCAACTGATTCCACACCAAACTTTTTCAGTGACCAAAAGCCATGGTTGACCAAGCTGAGACACAAGGTGGCCAGGAGAGCTCCACATGTCCCAGGTGGTTTTCTTGCTAGGTGGGCTGCAGTAGTGTAAGGCTAATGTTTGTATTTTGTTTTGTGAAACCAGATAGTAGTGACTTCAGTCTTAAAGCTGGGACATGCTGCCTCTCCTTGATTCATCCTAATCCTTCCCCTGGCGTGTAGGGCCTTCATATGGGTCAGATCAGGTCTCACACGTACTGTTCATCCTGACAGCTTTTTGTGAAGCCCAAACTAAAGCTGATGTGTATCATTTTCTTCTAAAATAGTTTGTTACAGAAGCCTTTGCTGTGGTCCTTTAGTATCTCCTTCTTTTTACATTGGCATTTGTTCTCCAGACTTGCTCAAAAGCCACCTTGCCCAGTTTGCTGGGTAGGAAAATGCTCCCTGGTCTTTAATGATTCCTTGCTCCAGCTCTCCCTTCTCTATATAATATTCATTACTCTTGAAAAACTTTGCATTGTCTGTGCCTTTGGTGGATTTTTAGGACTCAAATTTGGATGTTGAGATGGAGCGGGGCGGGGAAGGGAATTGAGTGGTATAAGCTCTGGGCTTTCCCTAGCTGCAGCTTGATTAAGCTGCCCTGTTACAATAAAGCCAAAATACTCTTCTGGACATTGTTAATGGCTTGCACTTCAAGGTATGAAGGCAGGACAGTTACTTGTGTCTTTTCAGTGTCTCGGACTGCGCCTCAGGCTTTGCAGTTGTTCAAATGTGTGGTTTGAGGCAGAGGGTAGAAATTGTGTAAGTTTAGTTTAAGGGTTGGGGGTTTTTTTATTATTATCCCTCAACTTGCTTCTGGTGATGGGCAGTTCTCTACCTGACTGACAGAATCAAGGCACAATCAAAGTCTCTTGTTGTAGTCAGAGTGAACCATGGCTGGTTTACCTCTTCTGCACCTCCTGCGTGTTTTCCTCCCTGAGTAAGTGTGCTCCCCCGAAGCCATGTTGGGCAGTGCTGGTGTGAAGCAGTGGCTTCTTCTGAGTAACCTGCAGCATGAGCAGTGCGAGTAGCGAGTCTCTTCGTGGAATTCATAACTTAGGATAAGCAGCCTCGGCTATCTCGTCAGCTTTTTAATGATAACTGTGAGGGTGCGAATCTACATGATATCTGACTTATTTGTTAGGAGTGGAGGGAGCTGCTGCTAAGCTTCACCTTCACTGCTTCGTCCCTCCTGCTTTAGGTAACACCTTGTTGAGAAATGGAGGAAAACCAAAGCAGCAAGGGAATAGCTTTGAGAAGCTGACTTAGTCTTCCAGCCATCACAGAGCAGCCCAACTGTCCTGGCTTTGGTCTGCAATTGTAAAAAAAAAAGCAAAAAATGTAATTTTCCTGGCAGTTTGTTTGTTTATTTCAAATTCGCAATACCAGCACACACAGGGCATAACACATGACTTCTCTGGAACAGTAAGTCTTTTACAAGGTATTTATTTTAGGCTTCTGCTGAACATATGAATAAACCAGCAAAAGAAAGAAATTACAATTATGACAACAATGAGGTCAATCTTAGGGAGAAAATCTTCTTGAGAGCACCCACTTAAGTGAAATTGTCACTTGTGTACATTCACAGACACAGCAGGATGCAATCGATTAATGGCTCCTTCAGCTCAATGGGAAGTGAAGAAGCAGCTGCCTTTGATTTTTAGCCTTCTTGCACACCAATGCGTTCCACTGGGGAGTGGTAAACGGGAATACTCTGGCCATTGCGTAGTTTCAAGGTGACATCCTGAAGGCACCAGCTGATGCAAACCAAAAGAGATCTTTAACTTCTTTTAATCACTTTTAATACAGTAGTAAAGTCAGTGTAGAAACAGCTGGCACGGAGAAACAAATGGTTCCACACGTTCATTGCTTTTAAAAATTCTCTCAAGTGTTTTAAAACCTGGTTTGTGAGTGCCAGCTACTGAAAGCTGATTTCCCTAGTAGTGTAGCATAGCACAGTCCAGATTTAAAGGTCTGGGCTGCATGTTCCTATTTGTTGCAACTCAAATAAAATCCTGCCAGCTATTTTTAGATAGGACATTCCTCCCCCGACCTGGTGCTTTTCTTCCTCTCCATCCTGCGGGTGCATTCCTCACTCCACTCCTCTCCAGCCTTGGAGCCAGACCATGTTGCTAAGGAATTATCCTGGCATGGAGGAGTTTGAACACTGTGTGATTGCTCAGTGTGGCTGCTGAAACCCTGACAGGGAACAACAGTGGTTACTCAAAGGAGAGGGAAAACTATGTTTGTTGGAGACTGAGGGGAACACTTCTTTTTTTTTTTTTTTCTTTCCTCTAAGCTCTGCTCTAAGCTCACTTCTGTGAGACTGCTCGTGCTGCTTTTCCAGCTGGGAAGGACTATTATTTCAAAGTACTGAGATAGGATTTTTTTCAAAAGCTCCTGGCACTCACCCAGCTCTGCTTTGCTGGAGTCAGTGCCGCATACGTACAACTAGGTAATTAGGCTGCTGCACCTCTGTGCGATGGGTCTGTGGCAGGGCTCTTCGCTCGCCAGCCCTCCGCCTCCATCCGACCCAGGATGAGCAACCGCCTCATTTATAACAGGGCTTGAAGGAGCAACAGCTCGCTCCCCTCAGCGTGGCCTAGGGTCTCGGCCCTTCCCTGCGCTTGCTTCAGGGCAGGCTGCTCTGGCAGGGGGGTTGGACTAGATGATCTTTTGAGGTCCCTTCCAACCCCTGACATCCTGTGATTCTGTGACTGGTGCCTTGGTTGCCTTCGCCTCTGGGCACCCTCCCCATCCCTGCGCTGCCTGCACCTGAGTGAATGCCTTCTCCAATCCAAACCAGCTCACGCACTCCGAATTTCCCTTTCTTCAGTTGCCCTCTTTTTTTAGCAACCACATAAATAAATAAACCACTACGGACAGACTGCACACTCTGTCTCAGAAGCTCCATTTCAGTGGCTTGGGAGCCTCAGCTACTCTTGCACCGAGCGCTTACCTCCTGGTGTCACTTAACTGTGTCTGCATTGGTCTGGTTGCCTCCCCAGTCTCCACTGGAAATGCCCACTTGCATACTCTGCAGAGCCCCACCAGGATTGCCTGCTTATGTGTTGGTTTTTCCTGTTGGGGATTTCAGGAGCTCCTCTTCGCAGAGCAGATGGAAACCAGCCATTTTACTTTTAGTTCCTCAGCAGGGTGCAAGGACAGCAAGTCTTGCCTAGCCCCAAGTGGAGCTGTGCACAGGACCCCACGTGTAGGTGGAGATGATTAAGTCTGACAGATTTGTCTGCCACAAACCCTTTTACAGAAGATGCTTTTTATTTTTAATCTCTTAAGCTTGAAGAAATGCCTGGAGAGCTTATTTAAAAAAAAAAAAACCAACCACAACTCTGCGATACGCATGTGCTTCAGTTATTGCTGCAGTTCAACATCTTGCAATCTTCAGCTATCCTCACCGTAACTCAGTGAAACAGGAGGGAACTGTTATTTCCCTCCATCTGTGAGGAGGGGATAAGGAGGAGTGAGGAAATCAGAGCCCAGGCCCCAGGGAGGCAAAGGTGTGCAAGAGCAGTGGCTGGGGACCTCTGGGGCTATCTCTGGTCACTAGGGAGGAGGCCAGGCCCTGAGTCTCTCAAGTCCCAGCCTAGTGCCTTCCTCCCATCATTTTACACCTTACTTCCCATAATTATTCAGAAGAGAAATCCAGTGAGTCGTGCTCATCTAATTATGACAAGAAAACATTACCATATGGCTGGTGGTAGCTGAGGAAAAACATTGTAGCTTTGAGTTTCTAAATAGAGCTACCAGAAGTGCCTAACAAACTCCAAGAACAAGTACATGTGAAGAGGTTTGTGGATAATAAAATTTCCTCTTTTGCAATGGAAGATGGACTTTGAATTCATGTAGTAATACTTTGCTCAGGTCTAGAAACCACTTTGCCCTTGACAAGGGAAGTTTTCAGGCTTCAGTACCACAAAAATGTAAAGTTGCTACTACATGTTGTGGAATCAGAGCATCCTGCCACTAGAATGTATCTGTTCTAGCACTTAATTATAAGGACAGTATTTATCGGATGGCTTGAATAAAAAATCCTGCATGATTTTTAGCTCACCTTGATAGGCTCGCATATAATGTGTAATTCCCCTACTGCAATACATAATACTAGGCTGGAGTTAGGACTGCTGTTCAACGGCCTCTGCACCTGCTTGGGGTGGAGGGGACAATACATTACCTTGGCTCACAGTAGTTGTATATACACTGAGCTGTAGTTCGCAGAACACAATTCTCACAAATGAACGGCTTGTGTTGCTCTTCTATTTGTATTTATAGGGATGAATTCAATATATTTCTCAATTAATTTACATTTTTACTGTAATGACAGTAAAAACCTTTCACAGGACCTTCAGATATGAATTTCTGATTCCTTTGTGCGCATGATCTCAGCAACACAGATGACTAAAGCAAATATCCTGCTTCACTCTTATCTCCTACTGCTTCTCTCCCTGCGTCTATACATTTCTCCTGGCACCTCCCCAGTACGCACCATTGACGGGAGTGATCCATCTCCGAGTTAATGTAGAGGTAACCCGCTGATTTTGTTCCAGATACTGGTAACTTTATCTGCAAATGTAAAAGTATGTTAAATGTTCAGTGAAGTGTGTATGAAACGGACAGTTACTCCTACAGCCAAAGATGCAACACCTTCTTTTTAACTTAGGCCCTAGTTATTTTTTTAACTGTATTTCAGAGTTTCACTAAGCTTTTCTAACGGCTAACGAGCGCGTGGCTATACAAGTATGTCTGTTCTGCCATGCATTAATCCCTCTCTGCTGAAAGAATGTACTATGTTACAGCTGCAACCCCCAGGGAAAACCACTCGCTCTCGGAAATATTTATGAGCAAACACCTTTCCTTACCAGAATGCATGGTGATCCAGAGGCAACCTGCACTATGTTAGAGCTCCCCATAACCATAACAAGCCTGTAGGTTGAGATCCCCTACCGACCAGTCCCTTAACACTCATCAAGGCAATGAGATGTTCAATGATTCTTCTCAGTGTCACAAATTCTACCACTCCTTTAACAAACAAAGCTAGGAGCTGTAGCAGTGACCACAGCTAATTGCACTAGGTCTAATGTTTGAATAAAAGAAATGTTTCAGGTGTAGCGTTTGCTGGTGGCATTGCAATCACAAAGAGAAAATGCCAGAGGTTCTCTGGCAGTCCCAGGAGCTGGGAATGTTGTACATGATACAATAATTAATGATGATTAACCAGTTTATTTCATGAGAACATGAATGCGCAGGAGCATGAAAAAAAGGGAGAAGTCGGTGGTTTGTGTCTTGGGTGAGGTCGGCAGAAGGCAGGGTTTGACTTCACCCTGAGTCACCCCAGCGACCAGCATTCTTAAACAGTGACATAGGAAAACATCAGTGGGACAGGTTCTCCTTTTCAATCAGCATAAGAGGTTGCGTGGGGCTTTTGCACATTTTAGGCCCAAGATATGTTTCCTGGTAGAATCTCTAAAACCTGAGAAGTGTTTTGGTCCAGGATATCATGTGGGTGAAGCCTGGCTGGAGTGACATGGAAAGCAGAATTTTATGAGTTGGTTAAAGGTTGAGTTTTCTTGCCCCACCAGCCCCTTTCCTTCACTATACCACCTGCCCTGTTCCTTAGTGCCCTTACTTGGTCCTCAGGACTCAAAACTACTCATCAGGAGGAACAAAATGATTCAAATGTGACGAGATCCCACAGTGAGGGACCTGGAGAGGTCACAGCCAGCCCTGGATTAAGGGGTAAAAACGGTGATAGAGAATCCTTTTCAGGCAGCAACATGGAGTGGAAGTGGGCTTGTGTTTGTGAGTTTTGCCTTGGCCCAGCCCTGGGCTGACGCACGGCAGCCTTGTGCAACACTTCAGCACCCAGCGCAGCATTCTCCAGTCGCTATGTAACCCTAGCGCTCAGTCCCGCTCCAGGCAGCTGTCCTCCGTGGCGCAGACTTAGAGATGCATTTAAAAACCACAGCATTTGTGCTGTACCACAGCGTAGCTCGTAAACGGCTATAAAACTCTGTTCTGAACAAACCTTTAAAAACTAGTGTGTGTCATATCCAGGGGGAGGGGAGAGAGGGAGGCAGCTGCTGTTTTAAAGCTGGATCTGATACGTTTCTGAAAGTAATTTTGTGGCTTCCAGTAGCAGGAGGGAGATCAACTGGCTTGGGAGGTCCCTTGGCATTCTGCGATGTGCCCACATAGCACAGCATGAAGATGCTGCTCTTGCTGTTCCTGGTCCCTCACATCAGAGCATAGATTTATACTCTGGAAATCTGTTCCTCTTCTAAATCAACTGGCATCCCATCCTACTGCCTTCCAGTGCCCCCAAGTGACTTGTGACCTGCTGAAAATCCCCTGGCTGATCTCTTGTCACCCTTTGCCTTGGGAAGCCACTCTGTGACACCACCTCCCCAGCGTTACCTGTGCTTTTTCTGTGTCCACGTGATTACTCCCATCTGTCAGTCGGATGTTGTGAACCTTAAGAGGGGGGGCACCCAGGGCTTCCAGGGCATCAGGACTGCTGTTCAGCTGCTCCAAAGCCTGCTGATAATACTGGGTCCTGGCAAAACTTTCTAGGTGCGAGAAACAGGGTAGTGAGGAGATTGCTTAAAATCAAAACAGAAGTGAAAAAGAAAAAGACGTTTCCTCCAAACCACCACACCCTCCCTGAAAAACAGTCCAAAACTATTCATTAGGAGAACTCTGGCTAAAGGAGGAAACACACACTTACATCAGAGAAGCATTGCTGAACTGTAATGTTATTCAGCTCATTTAAGTGGGCTCTGAATATATCCTGTTCCATACTGATATACAGTTCAGCTTATGGCTGTGTCCCCCTGCTTTGCGTACGTTTGTACGTCATCTAAAAGGAACAACAACAACAAAAAAAAAGCATAAGGATGAATATCTGAAAATGTTCTGAAGGTAATTCAAATTTTTTTTAAAAGAGGTACAGAAAATACTTTAAGAACAGAGAGCACGTCACAGACATTGGTGTGAGACAGGAACTGCTGCTGTGAAACTCTTGCTGTGGTCTTGATCCAGCATTTCAAGTGGCAGCCATGAAGCTGCAACTCTGCTGATGGGTGCCTTAAAAGGGAGGCACAAAGCAGCACCATTAGAGTTAATGGTCAAGCAGCAACAATAGCACAGTAGACTGGATGCTGCAGTGCTGGCACATGGGGGACAATTGTAGTAAAACACTATTTATCAATGTCTGTTTACTACATATAGCTGGGAAATGCTGCCCATTGGTGACCACCACACAATGCAGAGCCGTGAGGCTGGAAATGTGCCAACCCTCCTTATGGAGGTAGAGACTTGGTTATAAACATTTTTCAGGCTTGCAACTGAGACTTCTAGATGTGCTTCACGCCAGCCTAACTTCACTCTCTTGACGTCGAGAAGGGCGGAGTTAAGCTAAGAGCATGCACATGTGAAAAGCCTACTCTGGCAACTTTGCTCTTGCCTTCCAAAGAGTTTAAGACAAGGTATAATGTTTGTTTCCTGGTCTCTGGCCAGTTGGTATTACTCTTGGAGCGTGAGGCAGAAGGGTGCTGCCCCCTGTCCCTAATTACAGGCATACCCTGTGAACAGGCAGCATCCAGTTGGCATAGAAACAGCTTTGCTAGGCTGCAGCCTGTGCTGGGCCTCCCCGGCTCCCTGGGCCATCCTAAGGAGCTCCAGCAAAAGGCCTGGTAGCACGCCAGCCCTTTAGTGCCTACAGCTCACGGCAAGCAGCCACCCAGACCATGTTAGAAGTATGTTGTGTTCATCCTGCAGGTTGGAGGGGAAACAGGTTCAAGTTTTCTGGTGCTTTTTCTCAGCTGTTCCTTGTTAGCATCTCGTGTATTTGACATAAAATGCCTGACTAACCCATTTGTCCACACGTTTTTCGGTAGGAGAGATGAAAGGATGCTGGGGTTGGCTGGGGAGACTGCTGCCATGAGGAGGGTGTGGAGGTGAAGAAAGTGAGTGGAAATAGGATTAAGTGAGTGTCTGTACAAGCTTTCCCAGAGCCCACGTGCATGCAAACTTCCCTTCAGCCTGAAGGAAGGGGAGGGAAGCTCCCCTCTCCCCCTGCTCCCACCACTACAGAAGTCACTTGCTCCTCACAGGTCCCAGTTCTGTGCACAAGGCAGAAGGAACTGGGATAGCCCTGGGTGTGCACCAAGGGAGGAAGGGTCCCAGTGTCTGTGGGAGGCTACAGAAGGACACACTTTGCAGCAGAAAGTGTCCTTTCAACAGCCTGGTTGGCTTGTCACCGAGTTATCAGACAGCGACTCGGTGGCCACCGATACTGCAACAGAGTAAGAAGTAGCCACTTGATCGTTGTGCCGCTTGATCGCACAGCTCAGTGATGCAGGGAACGAGACCTTTGACTTTTGTATAGCACAGGGGGTGACTTCTTTTCCCTCCCAGAGATTTCTAGATAACAACGCTGAAACTGAAAATTAAAAAATGCTAATGTCCTTGTTAAAGCCAGATTCAATATTTTAAAGTGTAAGAGGATCCTATGTCTGTCGTGTACTCCAGAGCTTGAGGGCATGAGCTGCCTAAAGTTAAAGTCTGATTTCCAGCCTTGTCTGATTTGCTATTAATACGTGTAAAATGAAGGGGGGCTTTCAGAGCTTATCTGAGGGCTTGAGGATCAGGCTTGGCTACACTTTTCTGGCAGCATGCTCTGACACAAGGGTAGGTGAAAAGCAGTATCATTTGATAGCACCAGCAAGGGAGAGGTGTAGGACCAAAAGGCCTACGCCACCCCCCAAAAGAGAGGCAAAGCCTATTTCTGGTCTGATGCTAAACATCTAGAAACAATTTTAGAAAAAAAGAAACATTTATCATTGGACTAATAATTTCGATTCTTGGCCAAAGACATGTAGCAACTAGACCTGTCTATAAACAGCAATGCCACTGGTCTAGCTTTTCTCTCCTTGTCTTGGTCTTCTCAATGCTAAGTGCTCTTATCTGCCCTTCAGTCAGGAGAAACTAATGACATCTTAGCACTTCGCAGGCATGTGGTGTTTAAGGGCCAGCACCACAGAGATATTTACAGATAAAACCCCTAGACATTAATACTTTCTCACAGATGGTCCTCTCTTCCTGCCTAGTTGTAAAATGTCAGTAGGAAACAGAACCTGCATTACTGCCTAAGCTGTCACTTCACCCTCACCCTCAGGAAACCCCCCAGAAACCAGACTTTCTCCTGACCCCAGCAGCCTGCTCCCTATGCAATACCCACCTCTGGAAATTTGTGCAGCTTGGGAGAGCAGCACCCCTGGGGCTGAACAAAGCGGAGCCCACAGAGGCAGAACCCTGAGGCTCAGACACACTACCCTTAACTTCATCTGCTTTTCGCATCCTGCATGCTGCTATTTTGCCTGCCACACAAAAGCAAATGAAAGGGGCAGAGGGGAAATAAGGCTGCTAACAGCACCAAGACTTACTTTGCATAAGATTATACATCACGATGCATCCCCCACCGCTGAACAGTCCCATGAAAACAGCCATTTGCTGCAGTTTTCTTAGAGAAGCTGGCATTTTTCCTCCCTGAAAAGAAAATGGGAAGACATTTGTTGTAAAAGAAGAAAGCAAACGGGCTATTCCCCCCTCCTCCTCTTTCCTGAAAGCCCTTTCCAACCACGCCTGAATGAAAGCACAGTGCACAGGCATCGGGCTCCTGCTCGCTGGGGCCCCACCGTGCGCCCAGAAGGAAGAGTGGTGAGAACAGAGCTAACCAGTGACCCAGCTGGGTTGGACGTGTTTATTCAACTTCTTTTCGCGATGCCACCACTTCACTAATTGCCGAGAAGAAAATGACCTCCCCGGTGTGGCCGGGGGCCAGCGTCAAGGCGCACCGCGGCAGGGGCTCCTGGTGCCTGTGCCCTCACTCGCACACTGTGGGCATTCAGGCTCCGGGGGCCGGATTTCTCTCTCGAGTAAACTCCTCTAAAGTAAACACGCTCGCGGCAGGGCTGGATTTGGCCTGGAGTGGTAAGGGACAGAGCCAAGCCACCGCTGTGCCAGCACAGATAATGGAGCCAGGGTGTGTGTATTCTGTTGTGTTGTTTTTTTCCCAAGCCGCGGATAAACAGGAAGGCTCTTGCAAGCCATTTTTCTTCCTTCCTGCATGCCCCCCCAGTCCAGGCTTGCCCTTACAATGAGTCACAATTTTGGCACTTGAATGAATGACCCAGCAGAATAAGAAACACCTCTGAGAAAGTCAATCTACTAAAAACTTTCCACGGTTTGGGTAAGAGGGGGACTGTGTGGCCTGAGGAGCCTGAGCTCCTGCCCACAGCAGGTTAGTAGGAGTTGAGCTGAGTCGTCAGTGGGAGAGTAGCGTATTGCTTCAGGCTGTGGCAGGATGGGACTTGACCGAGCATCCGAGTGTCGCCTTGTGCACTTGCTTCTCTCACAGCTAGGACGGCAGGGAGGAATGGTCTTGACGGCAATTAAAAAAAATAAATAGCAAAAGGCTGTCCTTTTTTGATGTAGGCATGAAGACATCTGAATACTTGGGGAAGCTGTAGGGGATCTCTAATCCCAAAGGTTTCACACCTTGATCCCTATGCCACAATGGTGTGACTGAAGTGTTACACTTGGTGAGAGCTGGTTAATAAACCAAGGCCCAAACCAGTTACAGAAATGTGTCCTGGGCAAGGCCATTTTTGTCCTGTTGTGAAAACCACTCCTACCATCCCTCAGGTATGTGTTAGTCAGGTATTGCTCAGCCAACAATGACAGTTTAGAGAGGGTGGAGAGGCAAATGTCAGGACTCCTTCCCCTTGTGTCCGGGTCAGGGTGACACAGGCAACCTCGCTCTGCTGACATGCCCAAATGCCATCCCTTGCATCCTCTAGCCCGAGGGAAACTGTGACTGCAACTTTTGTCTACGGCCCTGTTGGCACTAGTCTTCAGTCATAACACACGCTACCCCTTAGTCAAAGGCTTTCCTTGTTAATTAGTCCCCTTGGTTTTAAGAGCTCTTAATATTTACATATGCTGTTTAATTTACTTCAAATTTATGGATGGCTAGCACTGGTAGCAACCCAGAGAAGCATGTGGGTATTATGTCTATTTTATGCCCCCAAAACCTCCAAATTGTGCCATTGGTCCAGTTAGTCACCATCGCTCTCCCTCCTGATCTGCTTCTCTGATGGATTTTCTTCTTCACTTCCCCTGGGGAACTTGAGTGGTGTGACAAGTTGCAGCAGAGGAAGTATAAGTGTGTTTTTACAGAGAAACAGCAGCAGTCATTTCACAAGGACCGCAAGAACTTTCTGCTCGCCTGCCTGCGTTTGCAGCGTTCCTTAAATTGCAATTTATAACATTGTCATGTCCTGTCCCACCCCCACCCCCCTAAACTGCATGATCTGATTAATAACTGAGTTTCCTGTAAGATCTGTCCAGCCAGAAGGAGGATTTGACACTGACGCCACATAACAGGAAGGAGAAAAAAAAAGAAAGGTGGTAAATCTGGAGACCAGATCAGATATAACAGGCTGTGACCCACGGCATTTGGTTTTGCCCCTTTCAAAGTTGCAGTCGGGCAAAATTTGCTTTCTGTGATAAAATTCAGGGTAATTGAACGCAAATGTCTGGGGGTGGGGGGTGCTGCCGGCAGTTTGCTGAGTAAGAGTGGGAAGATGTGGAGCTCTTGCACCAGCAAGGAGGCTTTAACCAAGGCTCTAGGGGACCTGCCTAGCGAAGGGCGGAAATTAGAGGCTCTGCAACTCGCTGTCAGCGGGTTTGAGGTTTGTTAGGTCTCACGGTCTGCTCGCACCCAAACACTGCGGATGGAAAGTAAGAGGAGCTTCGTGCTGAGCGGGCAGGTGCTCTTTCATCACCGTTTCCGCTCGCAGCAGCTCAGCGGCTGCGAGTGCCCCCGTCGTGCCGTGCCAAGACAGAGCCATCAAGCAAGGGAGCTTGGCAGCTGAGAAATGGTGGGCCCAGTAAGCACTGCTGCCCCATGCAGTGCTCCCGGCTGCTCCTGATGTGCTGCCCCTGCCTGCAGCTGCTGCCCATTGCCGGTCCTGGTGAGGTAGGGACGTGGCAGGCTGAGGTGCAGCCAGGTTGCACAGCCCACACTGGCTCTGCAAAGGTGATTGTTGCCATAACAAGGAGAATACCTCCATTGCTTGCTTTTGGTCACAGTGGGAAGCCTCCAGGCTGGACCACCCCATCCAGAGGCTAGCCCTTGACACTCTCTTCCCTCTTCTCAGCCGTTTTCTCAAGCCAGTCCTATGGCAGTGCATTGAGGGAAGCTGTCCAGGGCTGCACATTCTAACAAGCCTCTCAGGACCTTGCAAACCTTCTCTTTGATCCCACAATTCCCTGTTAGCTTCCAAAAGCAAGGACAGAGATGTCCTTGGAGCCCAGTGCACCCCTCACAAGGAGGCTGCTGCCCCCTGTCCCTGCTATCGTGTTCCCTTGCAGCGTGGATGTCCGGATGTTGCATCCAAATCCTCGAGCATCCCTCTGCATGCAGCTGCTGCTGACTTCTGAATGATGACACTGAAGATGAGCAACCTGGTCTAGTGGGAGGTGTCCCTGCCCATGGCAGGGGGGTTGGAACCAGGTGATCTTTGAGGTCCCTTCCAACCCAAACCATTCTATGATTCTGTGATACTAATGGTGTCAGCTTGTTGGAGACTGAAATGTAGTAAGGAGCTGTTGTGTGTGAGGACTCATTGCTAGGATTTCTGCCCTCTGGCCAACTGTGTTTGCTGCTCCCATCTGCTGCTCTGCTGAAGTGCCATGGAGGTGGCTCATGAGGGAAGGGAAGCAGAGACATGCCCACAGGCATGCCTCCTGTCCTGAGCCTTCCTGAAAATTACTTACAGCCTGCAAAGCATAGAGGTTATTAAAGCGAAGGACTAAGCCCCCTCAACTTCATTCACCACTTGGGGAGTAACTGTAAGACAATGCATTTAGGAGAATCTTACAGCTACAACGTGCAATCGCCTCCTAAGAAGGGAAGTTCAGGTTGCTATCTGTGGCAGAGATCTCCCCTCAGAACCTGTTATACCACTAAAAAGTATGCAAGTGAACTGGTGGAAAAACATATTTCTTCACAGCCAGTAATTAAAAAAAGCACAATTTCCAAGCTACACTGTTCTGCAAAAACATCTTTTCCCCTGTGCTATTTGCAGTAGTAAGAAAGATTAAGTGGAGATTAGCACACAGAAAAACACTGAGCCTACAGTTACCAAAAGAAGAGACATTAAATCACTATAAGTACTGTTCTCTAAAAATAAATATTAAAGAGCAGAGCTTCCTAGTAAGGACAACGTTCATTTTGTGCCTTGAAAATACTAAGATATGGTGAAGAAGGTAGTATTCTTTGAAACTACGCAGGACTCAGGCACTTAACAAGAAGATTTAACAAACTCAGAGAGGTGGAAGACTCTGAGGGTCACATGTGAAATGGTGGGTTACTGCAACAATAAAGACTGTTTTTAATTAGACTTTGTTTTCTCCACAGAGGATCTTCTAAAAATAAGCTGGATTTAAGAGATTCTCCCTTATTTCAGCAAATTCAGATTTTCTGTTTTGGATTCTAAAATTTGCATGGCAGAAGTTGGTCTCAGGCACCTCCACCAAAGGCAGGTAGTGGTGAAGCAAGGGCATTTTCCCCAAGCCACAAACATCCATTTTATTCGCCTCAGACCTGAGCGAGGGAGCTGGGGCTGCAGGTTCTTTGGGGAAGGCATTTCCTCCTCCTGGTACTATCAAGCTCCACCAGCACCTCCAGCTTCTGGGTGCGATCACAGACCAAACAGGAAACAATAATAGTGCTCTGAAATCAGAGAGAAGCAACTTGTTCCATGCAACCTCAGTGTGATCACTGCTGGCTATCTCGATTTGGGCCACTGTCTACCCACCAAGGTAGGGTGTCTTGGCCACGCCAAGACAATATACCACCAGGCCACCAATACAAGAAACTGGGAACCTTTAAACCACTTTGAACCACTGTAGTCCTGAAGTGTCAGCACGACACACTAAACATGTGCGGCAAAAGACTACTATTGAATTAAATTAAAACATATCAATAGGCCTGAACACAGACCTGAGCATCTAACTTCAAGGCTGGAACTGCTGCCAAACCCTTCTGCAATGAAACTCTCCCTTGGGCTGGTGGGATTTGAGTTGGCCCCAGGTCCAGCTTTTCTGCAAGCCATCCAGGTTGTCATGAAAGTCGCAGGAGAGGAGGGCAATGTCAGGCAAACCACACACAAGCACACACTTTTATTTCACATTCTTACTCTCTTGACCATCCATTGATCTTACAAGATTCATAAGGCACCTGGATGTGAGCCAATTTCTATACTAATAACATGCCAGGATGACATTGTAGAGACAGCTTCTTGACAGTCACTGTCTACAAAACACCTTCATCATCGGTACTGTCACCAAAGAGAGGACAGTACAGCAGAAGTGTTTCAACAGGATCATCATTTCAGCATATTATTTCCCTCTTTTTCATGGAAATAGTCTCAACATACTATTTACCTCATTTCTGAAAAGTAACAGCACAAATTGTGCCCCCTGCCAGCATGTTCAGCAATATTGAGCCTTTGCACGTCTGATCTGCCTTCACCAAAAGCTCAGCAACTTGCAGAAAAGAAGTTTGCTTAATTCACAGTCAAAAAGTAAAAGTAATACTCTCTTTGTCAGTGGTTCTTCTCTAGATGCATTGAAGAGGCGGATTTTGGCATTCAGGGAGGTAAAACACCTTTTTAGCCAGCTTTGAAATGGCTCCTTCAAGGGTCTCCTTGTGGATCGTTTCCTAGAATGATGTAAATTACCCTGGTTAAAATGCTTT